AGACTTAGACTCTGTTTTGCTTATAACAATTTAATGACATTACTGTGCGGTATAACCCCTATCCCCCGTCCTGTCATTGATTCGTAACCACGTGATATCGCGTACCCCCTATCCCCCGTCCTCTCATTGGTTGTTAACCACGTGACATTGTTTATTGTTTTGTGAATACCCGTTTATAAGTCAATCGGTCTTGGTAGAATTCATTTTACTTGTGACAACGTTCAGCACACGTCTTCTTTTCTAAACGTAACATTCTTTCCTGTCTTCATGGCTATGAAGTTGAGCGATTGCTAGTTGTGTGACGCTTTGGAGGAAAGGACTATGTTTGAAGTAAGTGATTTATTTTTGGCGTCTTCATGTCGTGTAGTTTGAAAACTTCGATTAAAAAATGCGGTACTTTCAATTAAAACTGATGCTATCGAGCTGGAAACTAAGAAGACTACACATATACTGGAAATCTTTTCACCAATATATAAAACCTCAGAGGGGGCTTTCAATTTCTGATTGTAGAATATAAAGACGCCAATATATTATAACGCGTCCAATAAGATCTTGAAGCAATCTTTCGTTCGCCATAGTTCTCAATAGCGACCGCAGAAAGTGTCGTAGTCACCCTTACATTTTTATTTTCTTCGACTTTATCCCAACTTTTTTCAGATGTTCAAGGACTACCACTGAGGCTATATCTTGGTCCAAGGTACTTCTTTGACTTCTCAATGTCTGCCTCAGTATCTGCGCGCTTGTTGGAAACCGAAAAGTCTGGTAACGAGACCGTGCGAGCTTCAGCAGTCTCCAAGAAAGTGTTGTTTCAGATTGTTCTTTCTTAGCAATTAAGAAATAGAGATATAAATCCACGGTTTAATTTGAACATTGTATTTTCTGTACCTATGTAATTAATAATATACACATTTTCATGTAATAAAATAATATAGTATAAATTCAAGTTTGTATAATTTCTGAGGTGAAAAATACCATTTCTAAACCAGAGACTGCGACTTCATATGATATGATATGACTGATATGCTTCTGCTTAAAGAATGATACTACGTCGACTGCGCTTCACTTGTGCTACAGAATGATTAATGGCGACCCATTTTGAATAATACGATGTTTAAAACTTAGGCCCCGTCGACCCTATGCTTCCTTACAAAGGGTGACTGTCATCAATAGGAAGCTAAGGTTTTCTAACGTATTATTTCAATTGAGTGAGATGTCCTGCTTTCACTCCAGGCAGACAAGGAAACCCAGGCTTTTGTTTGCGAGAACAGGACCATGAGACCTAGCAAAAAGCGACGGGTTATAGAAACTCTCTTACAAAACAAAAAAAGAGAATGAAGAAGAGAAGGAATACTCTGTAAGTTCAGAGTACGGTATGGATACAGATAGATCGAAATACAGGAGACGTAAACGCTGCTGTGTAAGTTTTAGGTGAAGTCTTCTAAAGTAAACTATAAAAGGCTGTCAAACTTTCATTGATTATTTGCCATGAGCTATAAAATGAAAGCAAATATGTGAGATGTATGGAGGGGTACCTCGGGACGAGGAGATTTTGCATAAATGTATTGATAAATGGAAGAACTGTTGTTGTGAGGAATTACGAAGTTGATTCGGAGCCCGGGGTGAAAATGGGTAGAGCGTTACTCGATTTAAAGGTAGGATGACTCTTTGGAGAAGCCAATGTTAGTCCGCGTACGCACTTCGGATATCTTTGACTCAAATGTCCGGGACAACTCCGGACATATACAATGTAGAGCACATTGGACACCATAATTGGCTCGGTCTAAAGGGACAATTTGTTTTTTTCCTTTCATCGCTCGATAAAAGAGGTCTCGGGAGTGAAGTTAACCCATCCACCTGGGACAACGTTACTCCACATAAATAGAACCTGAATCTAGACGCCGCGGTTTTATGGCAATAAATAGTGCAGTTGCGAAAGTAGTTATGCCCTATAAAAAAAAGGTAGGTAAAGTCTGTATACGAGCCAAGTGGCCCACCAGGCCGAAGTTTATCCCGGTTTCCTTAGCATGAAGCTCCCAGGAGTATTTCTACTCCTCCCTGGATGGGATGCAAGTCCATTGCAGGGTTACCCCCAGCGTTAAATTCGCCGGTACCCATTTATACACCTGGGTGGAAAAAGGCACTGTGAGAGTAAAGTGTCTTGCCCAAGAACACAACACAATATCCGCGGCCAGGGCTCGAACCCGGGCCGCTCGATCCGGAGACGAGTGCACTAACCATGAGGCCACCGCGCCTCTACAAAACAACAAAAAGAAACAAATTCGGTTTCTCGAAAATTAAAAGCAATTTGAACGCTGCTAAATCATAAGATGAAAAAAAAAAACAAAAAAAACAGCAACTTTTGGATCGTGCCGTGCTCAGTACTAAAAAACATTTCTAAGAGATACTTGCGCACGAGCCCGTGACACTACTTTAGTGCTCTATAACACCACATTGAACGGTTGAAACTTTTCATTTTGCTGAAGAGAATCCCTCAAAAATTTCATCCAAGTTTAAACCCGACAGGTTATCCACTGCGACCCAGCTGCTCACTGCATAGCCAAGGCATTCCAGTAATATGGCGCTCAGCGACCCATGTCCCCATCCAAGCAAACCCAACAAGACTCTTCTTAAGCCAGGCCAGCATCTCGAGCCATGATGTAAAACAAACCTCTTCTTGATAGCAAATTCGATGGCACATCAAACTCCACTACTGATCCGTCCTTTAGAACCATGATTCTGAAATGAAAGGAAAACAATTGATCACAAAACAAGCATGATCCCGTTCGTATCTACTGTAAGAATAAATACGAGAAGCGCATTGTGATACCAACACCATTAAAAACTCTGCAACGATTGTCTTTTCGTTCAAGAATAAATTTTTTCAGGCTTTAAGTTCAGAGCTGCTTAAGTTGTGTATATGACAACGAAAAGCAATGATGTCTTCATTGATTGTCTTAGCACAGAAGTACTCGAGGGAATGCAATGATCATCCAACAAAGCTGTTTGTATACCCGAGACATAACTTGCCCTTGGAGGAGGATAACTTGTCCAAGACACGTTGTCCTTGGAAGACAGACACCGTAGCTGGTTGTAACATGAAAACAGGCGGACTGTAATATCAGACGGATACATCCTAACTGTTCATTTTTCTGTCGCTTTAGATGGATCATAACAGAAGAACTACTCCATTTTACAGGAGTTATTCATCTAAAGTTGATTTCGTCCCATTCTACAATAAATGTAGACGAGTAAAGCCATCTGAGATGGATACCTCGCCTTAAACTAGCAAGGAAAAGTTCTTCGTCTTTGCCAAAAAAAAATCGTCCAATTTACCCGTCTCTAGAATGGGAAGGACAAAGATGAAAATGGAAAATGGTAGAAGAAATGTTAGGCGACATAAAAGGCACCCGTTGCGGTGACACTACATTCTGTCTCCACTGAAACAGGGTGAGGAAACATGCCATTGTTCTTGAATTTTATTTTATCTCTCACGCAAATATTACAGCAGGACCGGTTAAGTCTTCAACGCGATCAATATAGACTATAACGATGAATCAAGTAGTTCGAAGTCCTTGTGAGACACGGGCATTTAATTGTCGGTACTGAATTTTTACGAATTACTTTGAAGTAGAAAAGAATTAGCTCCAGGCCGAGATTCTAGGAACAAACTTGCCAGTACTGAATTTGTTGGTATAACCAAAAGATTAATTCGTACAAATTGGTTTCCCATGTCTCTTAAACGGCTTAAGTATGTTAGTGACCTCATCTCTTACCTATCACAGTCCATGATAGTGTTAAGCCTGTGAGCGATCGTGAATACTGTGCGGTCAGCGAACTCACGCCGAATCGTTTGCTGTATGAGTTCATCAGTTTCCAGATCCACCGCGGCCGTGGCTTCATCGAGAACCAGGATCTTGCTTTTACGGAGCAGCGCACGCGCTAAACACACCAATTGCCGCTGACCAACACTGTGCAAGAAACAGTAATTAAAGTTGTAGGAGGACGCTGATGAAAATTTTAAATTGTGGATCAAGCAAAGATACAGTTCACGAGATGAAAACGAAAAAGCTCTCTTCACAACAAAATTTCAATGAACCGCCAAAAATCCCACATTGGAAAAATATTGACAGAGTCAGCTGCAAAAAAGGTGGAAACTAAGGGTTATACTGAGGGTTGCAGTTATGCCTACAGGACTGAGTACATCCCCTACGTTGAATGATTAACAAAATTGGACGACCGTGAAGTAGTATCACGAGAATAATTACAGACAGAATTACATAAATTACCAGGATATATCATGACATAACTGTATATCACTTACAAAATGAGAGGTCTAAATTCTTCGAAAAAAAGGAGGGCAACAGTTAATTTTGATTTTGAGGTGCATGAAAACTGGAACCCGTTCAAGTGCAAGAGTTCAATTACGGGGTGCGTAATTGAGACGTACTGTTCAACCACGTGCTAAATGGCCATTTACTGACAGCTACGACAGGTCCGCTGTCGTCAAATCGTACAAGCGGCAGCCAGTTCTATTTTACTATTTTGGCCAATAGAGACGTCCATCTTCAAACTAATGAGAGCTTTTGACAAGAACTCGTCCTTGCTTGATGAACGGACAGCACACAGGGCGAAATGCGTGCGCAAGTCTTACCTTAGGTTTTCCCCTCCGTCCAGAATGGTGAATTGTAGACCTTTCTCAAGCCCTGTTACAAAGTTCTTTAGATGAGCCACTTCAAGTGCGTTCCACAGTTGTTCATCAGTGTGATGATTGAATGGGTCCAGGTTTCGACGCAGACTTCCAGAAAACAATACGGGGTCCTGTAAGGACAAAATTCATATTAAAACTGAGAAAAGTTAAAAATTCCTCTGAACACTGCAAAATGATTATTTTGGTTACTCCACTTCATCAACTTGGCCTTTTGTAACTTCCATGTACTTTAGCAGTAATGTCGCACTCACCTGTGGAATGATCGAGAGTCGTGACCGCAGATCTTGGAGTCCAATTGAAGCGATATCAACACCATCAATAACAATTCGTCCGCCAGCTCTCTCCAGAATACGAAACAAAGCTAAGGTGAGCGTTGACTTGCCAGCTCCTGTGCGACCCACAATACCAATCTGTTGAGTACAAAGACAGCTGCAGCAATTGTTTAAATCACGGTGAAATTCAAAACACTCAGGTATGCGATTGCGTGATTCGAGATGGAGAGGCAATAAAATGTCACACAACACGTACCTTTTCCTTAGCTCCAATGGCGCAACTGATGTCTTTTAGGACTAGAGGTAGATGCTCTCTGTAACGCAAGTCAAACCGTTCTATCTCTATCCTCCCCTGGTGGGGCCATTCGTCAGGGGGACGGTGAGAAGAAACTATCCACTCGGCCTGTATAGCATAAATTATCAAAACGGTTATGTGATCCAAATACAAGAAGTGTAAACTTCTGAGCAGAAGCGGAAAACAATGATTTATACCGAACGCGGTTCTTCTCGAAATCCCGACGACAAAGTTTCAGCGCAGTAAATAACGAGACTTCCGACGCGGATTGACCTGAAAACCCGAAGATGAAACTTCGGAAGCGATTGATTCCGAAATTCCGAAAATGAAACTGGCAATTTACTGCGATGAAATATGTGCGCTTCTCGCAAGTGTAAAGCCCCGGCCAAACAATCGCAACATTTCAACGCAACAGATTGCAACACTGTTGGGCCCAACATGTTGCACGCGTTTGGACAACATGTTGGGCTCAACAATGTAGCGATATGTTGCGTTGAAATGTTGCGATCGTTTCGCCGCGGCTTAACTAAACCTGGAGGGAAGCACCTTCAACTATATATCTTTCCTACGGCAACGTTTGCTCCTAAACAGGCCACCCTGATGTAAGTTAAATTAAGGAGTCCGTCCGCCCGTCCGTCTGTCTCTCTGTCTGAGTGTTTGTGTGTGTGTGTGTGTGTGTGTGTGTGTGTGTGTGTGTGTGTGTGTGTGTGTGTGTGTGTGTGTGTGTGTGTGTGTGTG